AAAGCATTTACTGCCAATATTTAGCTTTAAAGGAATTTTCATGACTATGACAAAGACAAACTGTCTATTCATGGGAATAGTAGAATAGCAGAATCTTAGCTGTGACAGTGATAGGAATGTTAATTTTAGTAGGCAGTGCCGAGAATTATCTCTAAATAAAAGTGCATGTGGACATATGTAGTTCGTATGCATGTACGTATAAAATTAATAGGTGTAGAATCCTAGATGTAATGTCTTTTGTCAGTCTTGTAAATAAGCCAACAATCAAGGGATGTTTGTCACTGGAGATGCTAGGTGACATTTCACAAACTATTGTTAGTATCAAGGTTGCATTAGCGTAATAAACACTGTTATATGGTTATTTGAAGACTCATCTAAATATGTATGGGTAGTAGAAAAGCAGATGGCAGTCAATGTTGTGGATAGAAGATTGTGGAATTCTTATTGTTCAAAATTTTAAAAAAGATTTTATCTGAATGTAACATTTAAAGATCAGAGAAAAGGAAATTCTCCATGTGATCTCACAGAATGAGAAGAGAGGTAATTGTGATGATTTTTTAGGAAGATGAGCCTTTACAGAAGTGGGAAAAGTTGCTTCCAGAAGATTTGTATTACTGGAACTTTTCTGGGAATTAGGGCAACATTTGTTTCCCAGCTGTTGGAGATCCACTGCCATGGCAGCCAAGTGTGACCATCTGAACTGGTGGGGAGCATTCAATAGCTGCTTTTGCTGATTTTGCTACAGCTTGGACCAAATTTGCACACTAAAGCCGCAGTTGTAGTAAAATAGAATTGGATGTAAAGAAATTCACAGTCAGCTTTATCAATGATATATAAATGGTGATAAAACTGGACTATATATGTATAATTTTCTGAAAACAGACTTGATAGATATGAACTGCTAGAGACTTTTCAGTTCAAAATCCGAGGACACAGCTGATATCCGGTGTATACTTTGGAGTTAACATCTACCTGTTTGAGTACCTGGCCACTATTCTGATCCCCTGAGGGTCCCTCTGCTCTGCAGCCACAACAGTCTCTACCCCCTCACCTATGACCCTGGACCACTCCATCCTCCACAACTAAAGAGAGAATGCCTGTCAAGAACAGTTCCATGGCCAGCTATCATCTAAGACTCGTGCAGTGTTAGTAATTACTTTAAATATAATCCCTACCTTAGGTTTTTCTTATTTTAGCATTATTTCTCTGTGGACTCACATAGTGGTATTAGAAATTTTCACATTACACTAAAGTTTTTTTAAGCATTTTATTCAAATTGCTATCGTTTAAAATTAATTAATTAATTTTAGAGAGAGAGTGTGCGCATGAGCAGGGGAGGGGCAGAGAGAGAGGGAGAGAGAGAATCCCAAGCAGCCTCCATGCTGACAGCACAGAGCCGGATGTGGGGCTTGATCCCACGAACCATGAGGTCATGAGCTGGAGCCAAAATCAAGAGTTGGATGCTTAACTGAGTGAGGCACCCACATGCCCCTCAAAGTGCTATCTGAATTTTATAAATGAGTTGGTTCTTATCATCATTTCTGTGTCCTCACCATAAGTCTGTGTTGTGTTTATATTTTAACATATTAAAGATATGTTTTTAGCATATCAATCCCATGTGGGCTACCACTGAATGTGTGCTAAACTTGCTACATAAATAATGTTTACTCTTTCAAATTTCTGGCTATTTTTTTAAAGTCAGCTTATTTTTGACATCTTGCAAAACAATCTTGTCGGACAAGTTTAATATTTCGGAAATGCTAGAGTGAAATCCAAGTCTGAGAGTTCTTGGAGTGAAAAATTGAGCAAGTTGAAAACTCAAGGGAATGCAGTTGAGATATATTTTGAGACTTAGAAATATGTAAAGGATGTAGGAGATGAAAATGGAAATAGCTTGTGTTGAAAATGCAGGCACAAAACTCACTAGGCTTAATGACAGTTTTAGAATATTATCAGGAACAACCATTTTAAACAATGAAGTCATCACAAAATCTAATAACAAATTAAGAGAAATTAAAAAAAATAATTGTATTAGAATCAGCCACTGGGACTTCCATGATTATGTCTCAAAGATTATTTATCTGAGACTAATTTGTCCTTTTGAAGTCTCGTTAATTCTATTTTCTCATGGTCAATCATACTAGCATTTTCATTTTCATTAACAATTAGTTGGAGCAGTCTGTTAATTTGTTCATATTATTCAATGTGTTGCTCCCAGGTCCAGATCACAGTTAATGAGACAGAGACGACTACTGGGTGTCTTGCTTGCGTTCTTCCAACTGCGATTTTATTAGACGCCTCTTCTCATTTTGTGTCAGGATATTGAATGCCTATCATTCAAACACCATTGTGAGGTTAATGGCCTCTGGATTTCTGCTCCCTCCTGACTCGAGTGTCATCATAGGTCATTAATTGCTGATTCTGGGATAGAATGGATGTGATACCAATGTTGACTCAGTGTGGTGTACTGTAATTAAGAATACAATGCTTGAATGCTGTAATTTTTAGCCAGTGTTTAAGTACAATAACACTCTCTCCCTCCACTACTGACAACATTTTTTGATCAGCTACAAAATTAAATATCTAGAGAAAAAACCTTCAATCCCAACAAGAATAATTTTCCATTAAATGCTTGATAGTCTGTTTTCCGAAGCCAAATTTAAACTGAACTCAGACAAAAGCTAAGAAAGTAGTGGAGGCTGTGGACAGTGGGTTGGGAATAAGAAATAGTGCCAGAGAGGGATTTGTGGCAGGTTTTAAAGCTGAGATCAGAGATCAGAAGTGAACCAAAAAGGCTAATGAAAAACTAAAACAGGTTGGTAGTTCTGGAGATAGTCTGTTATTTGGCAGACGTGTCTGGTGGGATAAAGGGGCAAATCTAAATAAAAGATCAATAGAAATTCCCTTGCTGGTTGTTAGCTCAATCCTGTATACTGTAATGTGGATTTATTATGGCCTGATGTTATTATCATTCATAGGTGTAGTTAGGAGAAAGTCATTCTGCTTAATATGTAGACAAAGGTGAAATTCACATGTAGAGATGTGTGGAATTTAATTGAGAGATTTTTTAAATTAAACTTTTGCCTACGTCTTTATGTCTTCACAGATGTTGTTAGAGCAGAAGTAAACTAGTGATATCACACAATGAGGTTTTATAAAAGATGATATTCCATTAAGAAGTCTCAAAAATTATCCTAAGCTTCATTTGTGGTCTGGCATACACACACACACACCCACGCGCACACACCCACACATATATATGACTTAAAAAATATATGTTATATGTGTGTGTATATGTACACACACATATTTATGTATATAGTGACTTTAAAAATCTTTAGAGTTATCAGAATAGGTGGTCTAACCAAGTGCTGTAATTCATAAAAACTTTTAAAATATAAGTATAAATAAAAATTGCATTTTAAATTTCCTTTCCAAATTCTGATTATTCTGTTTATATATTCATGGAACTTGAACATTTTGTGGTCCTTTATTCCTAAAGAAATATGCAATAAAACTACCAATGGTTAAGATTAACTGTGGGGAAAGGAAAATTTAAATGAATTTGGATTTGAATTTAATGAAATTCTAAATTAGGGAAAATTTAAAAGAAATGCGGTGTTTTACCACTTTGCAACTCATAAAGGAATTAATTTCAAACAGTCTAATAGGGCATTTTTAGATTAAATTTGAAGAAGTCATTTTAATTTAATGGGTGTTTCATACATAAATGGAGACTCTAAAGCTGAAAAATAATTTGTTCTCAAGTCTGCTAAATATTTACCACTTAATTTGTTTTTGGCTAATCATTTAACTGTCTTTGAACGACAAGTTCGACCGAATTTCAGCTTTCTCCAATCTCTATCCATGTTTCCAGAAATTGACAATAATTGGCAGTTGATGAGATTTTTTAATAGATCCTTTATTTCCTGATGTGTTTGTTCCAACCCTAAGCTATCATACTTTGGCTTTTTTTTTCATATTTAAAATGAATTTCTTTCTCCTTTGTTTGTTTGTTTCAAGTAGTTGATTCTCTAAATCCAAATTTGGGAAATTTTATTTGGAGTTTATGACTCACTTGAGTTGTCTGTGTAAACACAGAAGCCATTGGGTGAACAATTGGCACTCACACACAGCATGTCCTAGAAAACCAGAAAACATTCGGAGAATTGGTAATGAGAAGTTTTTCAAAGATTACTCTAGAAATCTATCCTGTCACTTCTAATGCTGTATATTAGTAAGTTAATTATTACTAGAGTTACCTTCAATCTGGCCTCTATTAACTTTCAATTTCAATGTGTTTGCTTTCAAATATGTTCAATTAAAGCAAATGTTGACACCTTAAATTTGCCACTTTATACCTTTTTTCTTAAATTTTTTTTAATGTTTGCTTATTTTTGAGAGAGATAGAGCACAAGTGGGGGAGGGGCAGAGAGAGAGGAAGACACAGAACCGGAAGTAGGCTCCAGCGTCTGAGCTGTCAGCCCAGAGCCCCATGTGGGGTTTGAACCTATGAACCGTGAGATCATGACCTGAGCCGAAGTTGGACACTTAACCCACTGAGCCTCCCAGGCACCTCCACCTTAAATCTTTTTTTTATGATACCTTTTACACGGTGTATTTTATTGGTTTTTAAAAATTAAATTCTGTTATGAATTATTTTTCTTTTGTAAGTTTGACCTTTCAGCTGTCTTTGCTCTAAAAGAAAAAGCAATTTCTTTGCCACTTTTGTTTGCTATATAATTAGTTTGCCAGAAGAATCATGAGTTCCCTTAACAAGCATTTTCTTGGAGTCCTGTGTTTAAAAGTTCATATTACAAGGTTAGCAGGAAATCATTTTGCTTTCATAAGTTGAAATAATTTAAAAACTTTATGGAATGATTCCATGAAAGAATTATTCTTGGGAGAGTGTATCCTGTTTTGATTGGTTCTTTAATCCTCATTCATAGTAGCATTATGAATATAGTTCAGATAATCAATGCATGCTATCTTTTTTCCAGGCCAAAAGGTGTGTTTTGCTGACCTCAAGCATCCCTGCTACAAAATGGCCTACTTCCACGAACTGTCCAGCCGAGTGAGCTTTCAGGAGGCACGCCTGGCTTGCGAGAGCGAGGGGGGTGCCCTACTCAGCTTGGAGAATGAAGCAGAACAGAAGTTAATAGAAAGTATGTTGCAAAACCTGACAAAACCAGGGACAGGGATTTCTGACGGTGATTTCTGGATAGGACTTTGGCGAAACGGAGAAGGGCAAACATCTGGTGCCTGCCCAGATCTCTACCAGTGGTCTGATGGAAGCAGTTCCCAGTACCGGTGAGTAGAGGTCTTGAGGATTAGATGTGTCCTGGGGGACTCGAAAGGGAGGAGGGAGATTTCTGGTTTGTTTTTTTTTTAATTCAAATAACTTTTATTTAAATAAAAAAATTAAAACTGCGTTCAGAGTCAAAACCCTTTTGCGATGAAACTCATGAGTATTTCTAGGGTAAGGCAGAAATATTTCTAAGTTAACAAGACCAGATTTGACTTTGGACTTTATTCTTTAACCAAATTGTAAAGAATGGAGGAAAAAATAGGGTTATTTACAGAAAATAACTATGTATATGCCGAGAGGTACAAATTTGATGACGGAAGAGACGAATATGCTGCCCATCTCAGAAGCAGTTCTCGAAGAACTTGATTTTATTTTCTTGGATTTTTAAGAATGCCTAAGATCCTTTTTCATCCTCAGTCTTGGGAGCCAAATAGAGCCTTACATGTCCCACACCAGCAATTTTATATTCTACAACAAGAGGTCCATCCTCAGATATACTGTGTGTGACTGTAGAGAGAGTGCAGGGCTTTTGTAAAGAAGTTCAGGTATCCCAGTGCAAAAGTTAGTTGAACCAGGGGTGCCTGGGTGGCTCAGTTGGGTAAGCACCCGGCTTTGGCTCAGGTCATGATCTCACAGTTTGTGGGTTCGAGCCCCGTGTCGGGCTCTGTGCTGACAGCTAGCTCAGAGCCTGGAGCCTGCTTCAGATTCTGTGTCTCTGTCTCTCTCTGACCCTCACTCTCTCTCTCTCTCCTCTCTCTCTCTCTCTCTGAAAAAAATAAAAACATTTAAAAAATTTTTTAAAAAGTTATTTGAACCAGCTCATTCATCTCTATGGTAACAACTTCTTCCTCTTTATGGACATTACTTGGTTGAGGATATCAGAATAGAATGGGCTAAATGGGTGATGGACATTAAGAAGGGCACTTGCAATGAGCACTGGGTGGTACATTTAAGTGATGAATCACTAAATTCTCCTCCTGAAGCTAGTATTATACGTTAATTAACTGGAATTTAAATTTAAAAAAAAAACCCTGTTTTGAAGCAAAACAAAGCAAAAAGAACAGAATGGTTGAAATCACTTGGAGGTGTTGCTGTTGCTCTGTTTGCAGAAACTGGTATACTGATGAACCATCCTGTGGAAGCGAGAAGTGTGTTGTGATGTATCATCAACCAACAGCCAATCCAGGGCTTGGGGGGCCCTACCTTTACCAGTGGAATGATGACAGGTGCAACATGAAGCACAATTACGTCTGCAAGTATGAGCCAGGTAGGAAGTCCTGAAAGGAGGTGCAGCAGAAGTTGGGCATATTTGCTTATATTTTTATAGTCAGTGTTTGTATTTAGGCTTCACTTCCTTTGGCTCCTTTTGTTTCTCTGCTGTGAAATGTGGAATTATTTTGCAGCTTGTCATCTCGCTCAGTGTACTGACTTATACTTCATGCTCTAGAGCAAACTGTCCAGTCAGTTAAATAGAAGGGAGTAACTAGACACATCTGGAGATGTGTCTTTAAGAGAAAATAACACTTCTAATATTAAGGTCAGAGCATGTTTTTGTAAACATATTTTTAAAAGAATATATATCTATTTATAAATATTTTAAATATTTAGTGTAATGTGTGTAAAGTAGGTATAAGTCACCAAAACACCTATAGATTTACACACATGGGCAACAGATCTTTGGGTGATTATCTGGTGAACTTAAGGGAACAAAACAACTTTCTCCTAGAACATTAGCTTATCATTGGTTGGTATGTTTGCCTGTGCTCCTCAGTGAAAGTCAGACTGATTGTAGCTCATTGAGCCACAGTGGGGGAAAAAAAAAGTACAGGCATGTACCATGTTCTTCCTATGATTGTCATTCTTTGGAAAATGCCTTCTTAGATAGTTTTTGTTTGGAGTCTCCAACTTCTTGCCGTGTCCAGCACGTGAGAAGATTGCATTGACCTGAGCTACACTGGTGTGGTTTCCTGTTGAAATAGTAAATTTGAATTAGTCTGAAGAGGACGGGTCAACTAAATTAAAATTTGACCAAAAGTAGAGACTCAGCAAAAATTATGTAAAGTAATTCTTTTTAATGGCCTAATAAAGTCAAACTAGATACTTAGGCTTTAAGATTTTTTTTTAATGTTTTTCTCCTCCTCAGTGTTGGGAAATACCATTTTAAATCTTCCAAGGGGCAGTCTACTTGACCTCATAATGTGTTCATGGAAGGCAATTACCATCAAGTACTGCTATTTCCATTATTCTCTTGAAATTACATGATTCCTTTTCTCATAAGACCTTAAAGCACAAGGGATTATTTGGATTAGATTTACCCTTCTCTTAGATTTATCCTGCTCTTGAGTATATTAGCCAGCTTTCTCTGTCCCTGGTGAGTTTATTCTTTAAAGCCCTAAATCCATCATTACCCTCCTAGAAGCCTTTGCAAAACCAAATCTGTTATGGACTTATGTTCTTTGTCTTTATTTTTTTTTCTTGGAAAACTATAAAGCTGAAATTCTCTGATGTTTTAAATTTGTAGCACTATGTACTGGAAACTACTGAATGCAACAAAGTATGTTACAGAGTATTCTGTAATACAACATTTTTTCTCCTTTCTCTGAGCTTTTAGGCAAACTATTTGACCCTTTGTACAGTTGTTTATTTTCTTTTATTTTGCATTCATACTTACTAAATTGTTCAGGACACTATCAACCTCAGAATCTTCTTTACTTGTTTTGTATTAGGTAATTTAGGTTCGTGTTACTCAGAGAAGACTACTTAAGATAAAAAATATTTTCCTCCTTATCCTTTATATTCTATCTATATCTTCAAACATAGATACTTTGTGAATAAGAATCCTTTATGTATTTTTTTGTTTTTGACACACATATACAGTTTTATAGTTATAAATATATAACTATGTATATAGTCATATTAACGTACTTAGCATTTTTATTCTTTAATTTAAATATTTTCATCTTTATTTATTTTCTATTTGTTAACCTTCTTCGAACTTCGTATTTTAATTTTAGAGGATGCTGGTTTCATGAAATATCTTGCTTATGTGGTCAGTGCTTTGTTTAGTGGAGAATGATTAACTTTTTGTGGTGACGGGTTAAAGGAGTAAGCAGTGGGATTTATTAAAATTTATGAATTAGAACTCCACTTATTTTCAACTTCATTCTCCAGTTACACCTGAAGTACTGTGTGATTTGATCTTCATCTCCTGTTTCTGCCCCTGCATACCATCTAATAATATGACCAATGATATCTGAAGTAATAATCAATTAACCTAGTAATTTTTTGAAGAATGTTTCTTCGTAGTAATGAAAAAACTGAATAACTTATTACTTGATTTCTCACTCTCGTCTCTATTTTTTGTTATTGTCCTGTGAGTTACATATCTATTCTTTGTGTCTGTCAATGTTTTCCTAAGACATTACTGCCGAATCTAATTTTTGTATTCATTAAAATTGCATTATGCACTCTCGTTGTTAGACATTAAAAATTGTATACATAGGATTAAGTTTTTAAAATTTTGTTAATCGAAATTACATCAATTTAAAGATCATTAAGAGTATTTTCAAAAATAACCAGTTCTGGGGTACCTGGGCGGTTCAGTTGGTTAAACATCTGACTTCAGCTCAGATCGTGATCTCTTGGTTCACAAGTTCAAGCTCCAGAATCTATGCTTACAGCTCAGAGCCTGGAGCCTGTTTCAGATTCTGTGTCTCCTTCTCTCTCTTCCCCTCCCCTGCTCATGCTCTCTGTCTCTCTCTCTCCTTCTAAAAAATGAATAAAAACATTTTAAAAGAAAAAATAACCAGTTCTATGTTGGTAAATTGAATAATATGTGTATTATTTATTCAGCAAATACCAGTTGAGCACCAACTGGCAGAAGAGGCCTCAGTTCTGTAGAAAAATGAGTGTAGGGAAGGACCATATCTAAAATTTCCAGGAGGCTATGAAAGTGTTAGGGTGAGATATGTGTACAAGAGTAATATATATTCTTACAGGACGGTGTATGATAAACTTCCAATAAAGAGAGACTCTGTGGCCAAATTAGAGTAGCAAATATCTTATTAAAAATAATTTAACATTACAAACTAATCTAAAATGCTGCACATGTTTTTTCTTCTCCATCATTTGACAAACAGAAAATGAAACAGAGAATTATACTTTTGAAACAAATGAAGAGAAGTTTACAGTATTTTTTCTTATTAATTTAGTTTACTTTCACTGAACTGTTAATTTAACAAATAGTGCCCTAGGGGAAAAATAGGTGGCATGACTGCTCCAGATCATGGTAAGAAATTTTGACATTTTTTAATTGCATGGCCATTGAAGAGGTCTTGCCTCATAAAACCAGGAAAGAAACAACCTGCAAGCCTTAATTTATTATTGCTTTTTAAAGAAATAAACACTACTGGAAAGCAAATCTAAGTATGGCATTGTTTTTCTAGGACAGAAAAGTGCTTTAGAATGTTACTTGGATCAATTCCCAATGCAATCCATGTATAGTCACCTGCTGATTATTACTGCAAGGAGAAACCTAAATATTATACCAATATTAATAAAGAAATCATCTTTGCTGGTCTTTTAATTAGCAGTTAGAGTCTCCCATTCTTTTTAAAAAAATTTTTTAGGGGCGCCTGGGTGGCTCAGTTCTTCAAGCATCTGACTTCAGCTCAGATCATGATCTCATGGTTCATGGGTTTGAGCCCTACATCGGGCTCTGTGCTGACAGCTAGCTCAGAGCCTGGAGCCTGTTTCAGATTCTGTATCTCCCTCTCTCTCTGACCCTCCCTGTTCACACTGTCTCTCTCTCTCTCTCAGAAATGAATAAAACATTAAAAAATAAAAATTTTTTAAATGTTTATATTTAAGAGAGAGAGAGAGAGAGAGACAGAGCATGAGTGGGGGAGGGGCAAAGAGAAAGGGAGACAAAATCCCAGGCAGGCGTCAGACTCTGAGCTGTCAGCACATAGTCCGATGTGGGACTCAAACCCACAAACCATGAGATCATCACCTGGGCTGAAGTTGGATGCTAACTTACTGAGCCTTTTCTTTGCCTTCCTTTGTACCAATTTGGTTTCATTATTGCCTATAGCAGGCTGTCATCAGTATAGACATGCTGTTGATATGTAAATGCAGATTTGGGTTGCAAGGATTCACCAAGTAGATCCACGTCACAAAAATTCGCCAAGAGGATACTTTATTCAAAGATAATTAAATGATGACTTTACAGTTGAATAGTTTCATGTACATTTATTACTCAGAAATCGAACTATTGTTTTATAATAAATCTTTATTTTCATCTACATTTGTATTTCTCTTTTTTATCATTGTATATGATACCTATACTTATTATTTACAGAGATCAACCCAACTTCTCCTGTAGAAAAGACGTATTTTACAAATCAACCAGGAGACACCCATCAAAATGTGGTTGTTACTGAAGCAGGTAATGAATTCACATGTTTTGAACTCCTCTATCAAGAGCAGAAACTGTAACTTTAAATTCTGCTTCATGTTGGCCCTAACTTTTCTTGTTGCTTTTTCTTGGGGGGCACTAAATTTGGCTTCTGGAAATTTACTTTTGAATTAAGTCACGAGAGATAATGCTAAGCTAGTTTTTTGAATAGAAGAATCTATTTTGTTTCCTTCTGATTTTCACCTCAGGTAGATGTATCTAGTAATAAACTAAGTAATCCACATGGAAACCTGGATTCACAAAGAACTCCCCCAACAACATGTAGGCCTTATGATGTAAATTAGCACATTCAGTGGCCAGCAAAAAGTGGCCTGCTGGTAAATGTTTAGGGAAAGGATAGTGTGGGCATGGGTATAATAGAAAAAGCCTGATTTGTAGCCTTTGTGGATTACTGTGGTATATATACTCCTACCTGGGTTGATTTCAAGCTATAAAAGTGACATCACTGGTGAACAGGGTGGAAAGAGTACATATAATTAGCTTTCAATCTAGCTGCCCCAAGCACACCACTCTGCAGAAGAAACCATGAAATCCCAGTGCAAATTGCACATTCCCTGATTAAGATTTAAATCCCAGTCAGAAACTACTCTATTAGTTTGATGCTCCTTTTAGCATCAAAGGATGCTGGGCCTGTGGTTATTGGACAGAGACCTTGATGTATCCTAGTTGCTTTATGAAGATTGAGCCAAAGACCCAAAGTATCAGACTCTTTCCACAGGTGATCTGAAATCTGTGAAAGAGTAGGAAATACTTTATCTTTTTCTTTACTATTATATATACGGGATCATGGTGGTACTTTGAAAAGGAATGAAAATATTTCCTGAATCCTTATACTGCTTGAAGTTACATGCCAGGGGCTCAAGAGTAGGTAAAAGCATAGCAAATTATCCTCAAAATACCCCATCACTAGACCTCAGATAACATATCTTTTGCTAACAAAGGACATGATATACAGTTAAATGAATAGTTTGATCTAAATCTGGTCCATTTTGACCAGAATTATTCAGATTGGTAATGATGATGGCTTTTGAATTGCCAACTAAATTCAGAGTTTTTTAATTTGCTTTTTTTGTGTGAACATAATATTAAACCTTAGTACTTTTTACTGTTCAGGTACCTGATTTTAAAACCATTTAGAACATCTAATTAAAAATATTAGTAAGTAATTACATTAGGAATAGTTTCCCTCTTCTGACATTGAAAAAAATGTTTAATAAAGTCACTTAAGTATGGCCCTTTTTATTTTTCAAGAATATCTAATATCGTGTGATGGAACAGGATTAGAAAATAATTCATTTTAGAATTTAATGAACATCAAGTCTTTATGCTTCTGAGGTCTTATATCTCTGGCTTGTGACTGTATCCTCAGTTAATTTTTTCATATTTTGATTTAATCTCAGAAAGTCTTAAGTATCATCACAGGACTGACCTTATTGGTTAGGATAATTATATGCCCAATAAATCAACAATTATTTTAATAATCAGTCCTTGTTTCTCTAAGTAATCACTGAGAATTAATGAAGTGAGATAGATAAGACTGTTAATATGTTATGAAAACTAGCCCCTATCTGAATTGTAGATTTAATTATAGTTTTAGAAATATGGACGCTGGATTGAAGCATGGCAACCTGTGAAGTATGATTTTAATTTTAATTTTTATCAAACGTGAATATATTATTTCATTAGATTATTCAGTATTTGGGGAAGAAATGTATTTGGAATTTATTGATAATAATTCTATTTCACCTTGAATTTTTGAACAATTTTATATAATGTTATTGTGAGAATTCTGCCTCTTCCATCTTTTTTACTGACTGTTTTACTCCTGTAGGCATAATTCCCAATCTAATCTATGTTGTTATACCAACAATTCCACTGCTTTTATTGATACTGGTCGCTTTTGGAACCTGCTGTTTCCAGATGCTGCATAAAAGGTAAATGATTCATATATGTAGAGACAACTTAAAAAGTTTTATGTAGGTTTTTATAACTCTTTAAAAATATTAGTATAAATAATATTTTTCAATTTGCCGTAAGAAAGTTCTGATTTTCGGAGCATTTGGGTGGTTCAGTCAGTTAAGTGTTCGACTCTTGGTCTCAGCTCAGGTCTTGATCTCACGGTCATGAGTTCAAGCCCCATGTTGAGGCTCCACTCCCACTTAAAAAATAAAGAGACAAAGTTCTGATTTTCATATCTGTCAGTACACACCCCATATATCAAGGCTAATAAGATAGGCCTTGATTACAAGATTCATGCATTATCTCACTTAGTATTCACAAGTCATATGAAGTAGATACCTTTTTGTTTCTGTTTTTCAGTTGAGAAGATGGTGGCTTAGATGCATTATACAATTTGCTTTTGGTCTCACAGCTAGTGTGGGTGGTGGATCTGAAATCTGAATCTCTGTAAGCTCACAAAATACACAACTATGTTATACTCTCTCTTGCTTATTGCATATAAGCATTAATACTAAGCCTTTCATTCTTGACCCCAAGTTGTATGCAAGACTTGATTTTTGAAGGTGCACTCTGTAATACTTTTTCAAAAGTTTAAGTCATAGGTTTTTGTTTATTTCCAAAGGGTCTTTTGAGTATAGGAAATAAAGTACAGTAGAAAAATTGGTCACTTTAAGTATGCATCTTCAGATAAAATGATGTATTAACAGCAAGATTCTTGGGAATATTCTTTTATATCTATTTAACCACACCTTTGAGTTAGATGTGAGCTTTTTTCATGTGTTTCCATTGGTCAATTGAAAAATTAAGAAATGAAATGTAAATATATATTAAAAGAAAAAGGAAAAGATGTTGGGTTTAAATAAGAACATATCTGCTAGAATAAACTAGCCATCTTTGTCAGTATTTTAAACAAAAACTGACCAAGAGAGAAGGCCCTGCAAATGAAGTCACTTTTTCTTTGGATTTTATTATCTTCATCAGTTTCTGAAATAAACCATAAAGAATCCACTAAGTAAAAAAAAAGTCCCAGGACAAAAACAATTAAATAGATGTAAACTCTAAGTGTTCACATAAATTGCTTAAAAGATCCAAAGTGTGATGTACAGGCTGTTTAAATAAGACATTTTGAATAATGATAAATAAAACCTGGAAAATTAATACTATACTTTGTGTCCTCTGGGTTTTCCAATATATATGTGAAACACAGTTAAAAGTTTTTGTTATATTTTGTACACAAAAATGATATAGTAAATATCTCATTTCTTTCTTTAATTCCTAAGACTAGAGGTGGAAAGATGATTAGTCATTGTGGAAAGCAGAGAAGTAGAGGGAGGATGTGATATAAATCCCTGCCCCCCAACCCAAAAAACTGTTAAGAAAGAGCTGTAACTAAGAAATCAGCTTGAAAAAATGATTTTAGGGTGGCTCAGTTGGTTGATTGTCCTACACTTCATGTCAGGTCAAGTCATGATCCTAGGGTCATAGGATTGAGCCCGGAAGTTAGACTCCACACTGAGCATGAAGCCTGCTTAAGATTCTCTCTTTTTCCCTCTTCCCTCTCCCCTTCTCATGCTCTCTCTAATATATATGGGAAAAGATTTTTTAAAAAAAGAAAAATGATTTTAAAAATATTTAGACATTGTCATTTCTAAAATAAAAATTACTAAAGTGCCAGTATCTGAGTTTTCTTTAAAGTTTGTTTTTCTTCTTCCAAATAGTGTATTATTGTGGAGATTCTGTTCATGCAAACGTCTTCTAGGTTTTTGAAGATCTATGGAGTTTTCACTTGTTTGAAATTCCCAGACTGAGAAAATAAACCAAAGTTGAGTACCTCCAGATGCCGGACTTAGCTGTAGTACTGAATTCATTAGTTCTTAGATCCTCCCCTTTTCCTTTCTTCCAGGAAAGCAAGGAGAACCTTCATCAAAGACTCAACTCCATTATCATCTGAGTGCCTTGCAGAAAGTTTAAATTCCAATCTGGTACACATGATGGCTTCTATCATTCCATGTCATGTTCAAAATAGTAATTCTTGTTTCCTTAACTGGTAGTAACTCTTAAATGAAATACTAATGTTACACAAAAAAGTGTTATTAACCATCTTTTATTTACTATTTTTAAAAGTTCGTGTTTTTTATAAACTTTGCTTGATTTGTTTTTCCTTCACGTTAGATGACTTCATAGGTAAAGATGTGTGGATCTTACATATTTGGAAGCAAATCTCCAAAACATAATTTGGACTATTTTATTAGTAGCAAAATCACAGTTAAATTGAAGTCAACTAAGTAATATTATAGAAGTGTGTTGTTCAGGAGTGTTAGGAAGAATTCTTTTCTTTCTCTGAAGGAGTTCTGCTCTCCTCACCTCGACTGAGAGTAACTGGAAGGCAGTGCCTGTGGGGAGTGGGGCAGATGCGGAGGGAAGGGAGGTGTGTAGGGGGCAGGAAGTGCATGACACAATGGACAGGGACCAGAAGTGGTTATGTGATCCAAGTGAGGGTTCATTCTCAGGAAACTAGACCAAAAGGAATCTGGATCTTGATAAGTTGCCTGTAGGAGGGTAACTCATATAAACTCGGAATAGGCACTTCTGCAGGAGCCCGAGCAGTGGCCATTTTATGGAAAAAGTAAGGAGACAGCCAACTCTGATACACGGGCTGGAAATGTGGGCTCAGAGTTTATGTCCAAGAGGAGTGAAGTTCAGTCTCAGAGCTAGAGGAACAAATTATCAAGGCCTGAATCAACTTTGAACTACACTAGCTGCAGAGACTGAAGTAAAACCGAACTTTCAGGGATTAAGTGATTTTACTATAAAAATGGAAAACTTAGAGTTGGAGGAGATTAGAAAGGTCTTTATACTTAGGACAAAAGCTCTGTTTTGATCGTTTAGCATTAAATGCTAATTAACATTAGCATTAAACAGCATATGTGAATGGAAGAATATCCACAAAGCAAAATTTCAATATCACTGATCAGACAAAATGCAGATTTATTCGTGATTATAATAAAAATTTTTGGTATTATTTCAGACATACTTGCATGATGTGTGTGTGTGCGTGTGCGTGTGCATCTGAATGTGTCTGAATTCTGAACTACAAAGGGTCAGAGATCAATTCTGTTTTTTTCATTGTTCAACATGACCTGTTTACCATCTTCACATTCTGGAATAATCTAGATTTTTTTGTAGATATGCTGGTGAGAGAAGAAAGACCCTTTTATAAGAAGGTCTGCGATATCTCCCCTGGGATCAAAACATGCCTATTTCAGTAAGAAATCTCAGGCATTGAACTTACTTCTTCTTATGTTTTTCAGTAAAGGAAGAACAAAAACTAGCCCAAATCAATCCACCCTGTGGATTTCAAAAAGCACCAGAAAAGAAAGTGGCATGGAAGTGTAGAATACATTGACTTGGCTCCAGCACAGAAAGTAGAATTTTAGAATTCTGGATCTGCATAAGGAATGGCATCAGAGCATTAGCTTGGAATGGCTTGAAATCTCAGAGGATCTGCAAGATGAACTGTAAGCTCCCCCTTGAGGCAAACATTAAAATAATTTTTATATGTTTATTATTTCATTTACAAAATATGCTGTGCTAATAATGGAGTGAGACATGCTTATTTCACTAACGGATGCACCCAAAGTTCAAGTACACGGAATGGACCATGCAGATAAACTTGCTGTCAACACATCAGAGGAGTGTATGTGTTGGAGGCAGTTATTTTTGTTTCTTTCACCTTTCATAAGTTGTAATCTAGTTCATGTAATGTAAATTGTACTAAAATTTACAGTGTGCAAAAATATTTTACCTTTACATAAGTGTTTGATAAAAATGGACTGTTCTAATATTTATTTTTATGGTGTTTCATTTTTCAATACATGCTGTTTTGATTACAGAAATTTATCACTGTTTTCAACTGAATCCGCACACACATAAATATATTACCATAGAAAAAGTTGCTTTTATAGAAATGGTTCATCTTCCTTCAGTTTCTCTGCTTTGGTGACAGACAATGTTTAGGAAATCTCTTCAGAAATAAGAAGCTATTTCATTAACTGTGGTGTAAACTTACTCAAATATTTTACTTAGAGGCAAGAATTGTCTAATTTCAATTGTGCAAGACATGTGCCTTACAATTATTTTTAGTTGAAAAGTCAACAGATTTTGTAATAACTTTGTGAATAGCTATATAAATAATATTATCCTCAGTCTAGAACAAAAAAATGGCATAGACAATATAAATCATATGTCTTCACATGTTGCCTATATAACCATAAGTAACTCTCTAAGGGTTCTGGAATCAATTTGGTCCCTCCCTTGCCCACAAAACAAAGACAGTTGTTTGGGGGCGGGGATTAACAGTGAAAGCAGATAGCTGCAGAGTGTGCCTAAGGTTTTCCATAGCTCTGTTCAGCCTCTATTAGCATGTAAAGTGGTCTTATGATTGGGACCAGGTGCATGGTCGCCACCATCCATGTGGAGGTAAGCACAGCACACCCATATTTCATGAAGGAAAGAAACTGATTTAGTGTGAAATGGGTGGGAGGGCATCAGTGATCATGTGTTCGTGTTGAGGATTTGTCTGAGAGAGTGAACTGCGGCTCCTCTTATCTTATCTTCTGCGAGTTTCTTCAATGCTTGTGTCTCCTTCTCAAGAGACTTGTAACTATCTGGTCTTCAAATGTCCCTGTGTTCCTTTTAACTAAATAAAAAGTTATTGTTTCTGAAGAATGACCATGGGTGTTGTCTAAATCTTTTAAGTGAGCAAAATATAGATGTGTTTGCATCAGTACATGAAGCTGTTTAAGTATGGTGTGAATGGAAGTTGGGGCTATAGAGAATTTTAAACCTCATCTTTGCTCTGTTAAACCTTTTATGTCAGAAAATAAAGGGCTTTCCTTAAGGCAGTCATGACCAGAGTTGGTTGGTGAAGCTTAGAGACAAATAGAAATGAGTGGGCATTGGCCCCCTTTCTGTTACGTGGAGACTGAGGACATGGACAGCTGTATTGTAAGCTTCCATCTGCCCACACTTAGCCCTCCCTTTCTCTGCTTGGCTACACACACTGGCTGGGATCTACCTCTTTCCTCCAAGCTCCCACCATGCATTTCTTCCTTCAGTTAGGACTTTATGGAAAGGAGACAGCGCTTTCCCCTATTTTCTGTGCCACCCAGGACTATAGCAGCTGCAGGCCAGGAGAGGCAAGCAATGGGGAAGGGCTGCGGTTTGGCTTTTTGTCTTGATCCAGGCCCGCATAACTCTTCCAGTATCAATTACTAACGCCATTCATTACTAGGAGTGGGGCAATCAACTTCCCTATTAGTAAAAGATAACAGTGACACTGTCCTTAGGGTTTCTTCAACTTTTAGCTGACCTTTGAAAACTGAAAAGGAGTACACGGTATATCTGTTGTGCTTGTATTTTCAGAACATAGTTCTGATATGTGTTTTCAAATGTAGGTGACTTGTGGAACAATATTGAGGTAGTAAAATCAAACAATACCTCCCACCCCTGCTGCTCCATCCTTTCTAACTGCTCCTAAGATCAAGTCATTGGAAAGGTCTTAAAAAGAGTAGTGTGTTCAGGGACTCCGGATTTTCATCCTAAGAATAAATACCATGATTGTTTACCAGGAATTTGTAGTCCCCGATTATATGGCCACACCCTTTTATATGACATTGTTTTCCTTTTGTTCCCCCGAAAGAGTGACTTTGGTACAACAACACGCTATTATCTGTTATCCTCAATCCTGAATTTCCCTGAAGCCACACCTACACAGAGGTCCCAATGCCTCTCCAATACATCAATAACAATCAGTGCTTTCAGATGTAGCCCCATCTTGTTTCTTCGGTGGAGCCAATCTACAATCCTTTAACCTTACTCTTTCCTCTATTACTTTGGATTATATAGACACTTTGTGTGTGTGTGTGTGTGTGTGTGTGTGTGTGTGTATTAAGTAGGTGTGAATTTTGTTTTTCCTAAATAAATCAGTAGATTTTGTATGGAAAGCTAAATAGAAGTTTGCCCTTACTCTGGAAATGATCCAAGAGATTAAAGCAGTGAAGCAAATTCATTTATTCCACATTTTTGGCCTTCTAATGAGTGATTCAGCTGTGTCTAAGTAAGTTTTGCACATGTTAAAAACATCCACTGTAAGACTCATAGATCAGAATAAAAAACATTTGTAATGGTTGCATTTTTTGAATATGTCTAATTACTTTTTGGAAACTTAAAAAAATATTATCTTAAAATAAATGGACAGTGTGATTAATCCAGGTAAAAAATGAGCCAATATAAGAATGATAATATCAGTTAATTTCCTTTTTATTTTGATACAAGGGTGATATATAGACTTGCACTTATTTGCTGTTTAATTAGCTTGAGAGGAATGTGTAATCAATATAGTCCAGGTCTGTGACATGATCTTAAAATATATATTTTTATGAGTGGTGAAAATATTAAGGATATGCTCAAAATGAATTGGAAATGCATTTAGATAGAAAATCAGGAAGATTATTGAGATTCTGAAAATAGCTGGGTGGAACTAGATAATTTATAGCAGTTTACTTCAAACAATAACATACTGTGCAAAATAATTTACCTCACTTCTTTTCCTAATTTTGCCAAAACTCTAAGAATATAGTATATGCTTTAACATAGTATTCCTTTAAATAAGAGAGTATGCTAAAAATAATGATTACAAAGGAAATGATGATCTCTGTGAAAGATTAACTGTCCACAGTGAAAAAGTGACTTTTTATGGTAAAGATTATTTTTTGTCTTCACCCGTATCCCTTAGCATTTCAGTGGTTTAGGTAAGAATAAAGTCTGTTAGAAATCGTATTTGCAAAACTCTCAATTTCCATGCTTTTTAGAGTGGAATGGGAAAACCGCATGACTTTCATGTTGGTTTAGGAAACACTCTACTGCAGAAAATTTTGTATCCATTCTGTGAACCTCGGGGCCAGGGCATACACCCCTGGGCGGTTAGGCCGTGCACACTGGTATCCAAATGATGTCACACCAGCCAGGAACCACCTGGTGTTTTCTTGGCACATTAATGGTCCTCCTGAATCCCCCTAGAGAGTAAATTGCAAAAGAAAATCGTAGATGTGTTGTCAATTGATAGAAACATGTAAGATTATATTTAGCAAATCAATTCAAAACTACATATCAAAAATATGATTTAATTGCAAGTCATCTGTATATGTCTTCACCCTCACTCTCCGTTCAGAATAAGAACTTTTGTGCTTGGTAAGGACCCAGAGTAACTATGACAACTAAAATATAATTTATATGTAACTCTTCATGAGGTACTTTTAGAGCAAAAGTTTCTTTACTTTCATTATGGCATTTTAATAGGTACTTAGAATTTCTCTAAGGCATTGGGGCGCCTGGGTGGCTTAGTCGGTTAAGCATCCGGCTTTCGCTTAGGGCATGATCTCGCGGTTCGTGGGCTCAAGCCCCGCATGGGGCTCTGTGCTGTCAGCTCAGAGCCTGGAGCCTGTTTCAGAGTCTGTGTCTCCCTCTCTCTCTGACCCTCCCCTGCTCACACTGTCTCTCTCTCTCTCTCCTAGAAATAAATAAAAATATTAAAAAAAAAAAAAAAGAATTTCTCTAAGGCACAACTATGAGAAGTATCCTAAGCAAAATATATATTAAAATCTGATCATTTATTAAAGGAGGTATGATATTATTTCATTCATGTAGAATTGCAGAAACGAAGTAGATGAACGTGGGAGGAAAGGGAAAAGATGAGAGGGGGCAAACCATAAAATAGACTACTTATTATAGAGAACAAACTGAGGGTAGCAGAAGGGGAGGTGGGCAGGTTGATGGGTTAATGGGCGATGGGTACTAAGGAGGGCATTTATTGTGATGAGCACTGGGTGTTAGATGTAAGTGATAAATCACTAAATTCTATTCCTGAAACTAATATTACACTGGAATTTAAATAAAAGGGTGAAACAAACAAAAAAAAAAACCAAACCAAACCAAAAAGAAGTATGTTCTAAGATTTAGGGATGGCTTTGCAGAAAAGACACTTATTACACATTGTGTGTTTATGGAAACTAAAAACTCACACATGAAGTTGATTTTAGTTCTTTTGAGTTGCGTTAGCTTTTTGGCACAAGACAAGCACCATCCAAATTGAAAAACATCGTAACATTTCAACTGAAATAGACCTGTCTATGATATAATCTGTAGTGATGGGCACACATATTTTCATAGGATATTTTAACTGTTAATTTTTGGAAATATTAATTACAGCAGTTTCTAATAGAGTTAATGAAAAATATTTCATTTGCACATAAGTATTTGTGTATAATGTGAAAGAACATAATGCAAACACATAGTACCATTATTTAATGATGGAACTGACAAATATGTCTCATATATTAATTGTGCAAAATTTTAAATCTTTTTTATCCTTATAAAGAAATTTATTTATTTTTATTTATTTAAAAATTTTTTATGTCTTTATTTTATTTTGAGAGACAGACAGAGAGTGAGTGGGGGAGGGGCAGAGAGAGAGAATGAGAGAGGGAGAGAAAGAGGGAGACATAGAATCTGAAGCAGGCTCCAGGCTCTGGGCTAGCTGTGAGCACAGAGCCCGTTGTGGGTCTCGAACCCATAGATTGAGATCATGACCTGAGCTGAAGTCAGACGCTCAACCAACTGAGCCATCCAGGTGCCCTTATACTTATGAAGGAATTTAAAGCCTTGTGTACATTGGTTGCAATCACTGGTCAATAGTTCAACCCAAATTTGTCTTAAGCATTTTCTAGAGAGACTTTTTACCTGCTTCTTTATTGCCTTTGGGACCATAT